CCGTCGGGGACGCGCTGGTCTCGCCCCCAGGTCGGGGCCTCCGAGGAGACGCGGGCCGGTGACCCCGGGGGAGCAGCCCGGCGCCCGCAGCAGCGGGGAGCGATGGACACGCGCCCCCGCCAGCAGCCCCCGCCCCCGCCCCGCCGGCGCCCAGGTGAGGTGCAGCGCGCCGGCTCCGCGGGTGTGCGCGGTGCAGGGTGTCGTGGTGTCGGTGTAAGGACACCCGCAGACAGGGTTCTTTGGGTGAATCCGATACCTGTTATGAGACCGACGGATAGAGTTGGAAAACAAGTTTTGAGCAAGCTTTCGAGTGCAAAAGCCCGTGGTCAGGCTGAGGAGGTCCCTGCAGTGGGCGTGCGGAGTGAAAAGGAAGGCTGGGCTGGTGTGCGTGCAGGACGGGCGGTCAGTGAGGATGTAGCCTGGGGAGTCGATGGGTGGGAGACAGGCTGGAGGGGCGGGGAAGCAGGGCATGAAGAGTGGAGAGGTACCTGGGCAGTCAGTTGCCAGGCAGGTTACAATGCGTCATAAATCCAAGGTGTGTATTCAGGCCATGATTTTTAGTATCCGGGAGGCTGGTGAAGTGCAGTTCGTAGGCTCCTCTCTGGGAAGTGTTTGGTAAGTTCCCTTTGTGGATCAGGACTGCGAGATTGGAGAGAGAGTGGTTTTTTGGGAGAAATGTGCCCCACCGGTACTTGGGTATTCAAGTCTCACATAGATTCCCGGTGTGCGTTCGTCCCGGTGCGCAGTTGCTGTCTGGTCTCTCCTACATCTCTTCCATCGGGGCGTTTGGTGCATGGGATGAGGTATATCACATTCCTGGAGGTGCAGCTGTAAGATCCCGGGATGCTGCTGGCTCTGTTGTGGGGGGTAGTAATAGTGGGGGTGGTGGAGATGTGGGGGCAGGCTTTGCATTTCTTGTCCTGGCACGGTCTGGATCCTTTTGGTGTGTCTGGGCTTGAGAAAGTTTGCTTCTGGTGATGAGGTTGGCGAGGTTCGGTGCTTGTCTGAAGGCGGGGATGGGTGGCTCTGGGAAGTTCTCTTTAAGAATAGGGTCTCTTTCTACTATGGGTTGCAATTGTTTGAGGATTTTCCGTACGGGTTCCAGGGAGGGATGAAATGTCATAACCCGCGGTGTGCGATTCCTGGGGGCTTTTCTTCTGTACTGCAGCAGTTCTTCACGTTGCATCCGGGTGGCTTTTTCAATCTGCAGTCGCTCTCTCTGGAGGAGTGTCTTTGCTGGGTGAAAGCCTTTTTAAGATTGGTGAGGTGGCAACCCCGGGTGTTCTTCTCAGTGCAAATTCGGTGGTATCTGAGGGCTTGGCTGTAGATCACAGCTTTTTTGGTGTGTTTATGGTGAATGCTGGTTCTGTGCAGATATGTATGTTGGTCTGTGGGTTTCTTGTATAATGAGGTCTGTATTTTATCATTCTGGATACTGATCACCGTGTCTAAAAAGAGGATGTTGGTGCTGGAGTGTCTGTGCTGCGTGCAGGGTGTGCCCCTGCCCAGGACGGCTGCAGTATTCGTACCTGCGGGGCTGGGCTGGGACAGACGTGATCCCTGCGGGCGGGCAGCTCCCAGGCTGAGACCCTGATCTTTCTCCCTGCACGGGTGCAGCATCCAGCACAGAGAGACTGCATCAGTAACCTAATCTCTCATGCCCCTATGAGCTCTCTGTGCCCAATGCAGGGCTGGTGCAGGTGCCATGTAAATGAGACTTCCCAGTGGCCTCTGGTTCGTTCACATACTGCTAACCCTGGCCTGTGTGCTGCTGCAGATTCCCCTGAACTAGAGGAGACCTGGGAGCTGTCAGCAGACGAAAGCTGCTCAGGCTGGTGGCTCAGACGAGGCTCGATCCCCGGGGCAGGGAGGGGGCGGTGGGTCTCCACTCTCCAGCAGCATGAGCACCTTCCCTCGGTGCAGAAATCTCCCTTCCACAACATGGTGGAGGGGTCAGTGCTCCACAGATCAGCGGTTCTTGTTCTCCTGGTGCCCCTGCAATCGTTTCACATGCCCAAGAGCAGACAGACCTTGCGTTTCCCCTCCCCTGCCCTTAGCATGTGGATCTGATACGGCCCCAGCATCGCTCGAGCTGCTTTCCCAGGGAGCGATGTCCCTGCAGGCTCCATCGTGGTGCTGCGATCACCTCCCCACGCTGGGACAGAGTTACCGGGGCTCATCTCCAGCCTCATGCCTGTGGAGGTGTGTTAGCAAGAGCTGCAGGATTCTGAGTCTTCCTTCTCCCCCCTCTTCCACACACTGAGGCCTCCGTCTCCTCAGTCCCAGGCCAGTGCAGGAGACTTGCAGGGCTTTCCCCGTGCCAGCAGCACCAGGGCTCACGTGTTTCCTCCCTTCCCACCCGCAGGTGCTGGGACCCTGCAGAGAGCTGAGCAGCAGCCTGCTGAGGAGGGGCCGGTGATCCTGGAGCTGCAGAGGACGTGCGCAGGGAGCCTGGAGGAGAGGAGCTCCCTGACCCCTGAGCCAGGCCAAGTGCAGAAGGGGCAGGGCAGGCCTCCAAAGCAGGAGGAGAGCTCGGAGGTGAGCAGGGCACCCGGTTCACTTGTGGTGGGGAGTACAGGTGGGGCAGAGCGCAGGAGGAGCCCAGGGTGGTGTAAAGAATTTGGGGAGCAGAGAGACCTGAAGAGCATGAAGGCTGCATTGACGGAGGCTGCAAACACCCCAAGCTGCATTAGCAGGAGCTCCCTTCCAAGTGCAGATACCAGGGGTGCTGGCGCGGGCAGGCCAGGTTACAGTGCGTGGAGCCGGGGCTCCCTGCCTCAGAACGTGCTGCCCAGGCTGCCTCAAAGGACCGAGCAAATAGAGAGGGATGATCTGGGCTAAAGCCGGCACATGTGATGTGCATGCAGCCGCGGATACAGGAGCTCATGTCAGCTGAAGACTGGGGAGTTGTGTCCCCTTACCTGTCATGGCTAAGATTGCAATTCCTGGTCGTACCCAGTGATTGCAGGCAGGGCTGTGGGGTCCGGGAGCAGCTGGCGCAGGAGACACTGATGGTGCAACGCTTGTGCCTGCAGCTCCGGGAGGTGTTTGAGGACGTGGCTGTGTATTTCACACGGGAGGAGTGGGAGCTGCTGGACGATGAAGACAAGGTGCTTTACCGGGACCAGATGCTGAAGAATTACCAAGCCCTCGTTTCCCTGGGTAAAGCTCTGGGTCTTGCTTCCCCCAGAGATATGTGAGCTCTGCAGTTTTGTAGTCACCTCCCTGTTCCAACAATCTCAGTCTGATGAACTTTTGGCTGGAGGTTTAAATCCCCTTCCTTCCCCATTGCTCTGTCAGTGATCAGGCCTCCCTCACATTTCAGACTGAGATCTCCTCCTTCGTTTGCTCCAGCTGCTTTCACTTGTGCCTTCCCCGTTCTTGTGACTCCTGGTTCTTCCATATGCAGCAGTTCCTTGGCAACATGATCTCCCTTTGCCTTCTCAGCATGTTCACACCATCTCCAGGTCATTGTACATGAATGCACTAAGAGCTGTTCCTTGGAGGAGGATTCTGATTTTCTCCGTCTGACCTAGCAAGTCCTTTCTAGACACATTTAACGATCCTTGCATGCTCCGTTCTGTGAGATCTAAGTCCCCTTTCTCCTTTCGTTATGACTCAGCAGAAGTTAATAGAAAGTCTTATCAGCCTCTGCTGCTACAGTGGGATGAGGCATTTCCTCAACTGCTCCTGTAGCAACATGTGTACACGAGATGTATCTAGCAGGGCCCTAAGGTGCCTGCTACTTGGAGAGCTGGGATAACTCCTCAGGTGTCGGTTGCTGAGGCAACTGGAGGTAACTAGTGACCCACACCTGCCTAGCCAGCTGACCAGAAGGGGCAGGGCCTGGCTTCTATATAAATCACCGGCTGGAGGCCAGGAGGCAGTTCCCTGCTGGCAGACAAAGGGGAAGAAGCTCAGCCTGAGCGAGCAGAGGGAAGAGGCCTGAATGCAACAGCAGTTTGAGACGGGTAAAGGATGGAGCACCCTAGGGGTATCTGGACTAAGGTTATAGCCGGACGGCTGGAGTTTGGGTTGTAGCCCAGGGGCTTGTTTCGTTTGCTGTTTGTAACTGGTGGTTTGGGTGAGGCTATTAGGGGTTGGAGGAGGCCTCATAGGGGACTCACAGCAGTGTGGGGACCCCAGCACCAGCGAGGGTGCAGCATGCAGGGTACGCTGACCCCAGCCCCAGAAAAGGGACACTTGAGAAGCGCTAGAGAGAGGGGGGGCAGCGAGAAACCCCAGAGAGGGGGGGGCAGGGCCGCAGAGAGCCCAAACGCCGGAGAGGGCGCGGGGAGAGACCAAACACCGTCAGTCACATCTGCAAGGCTTGGGGCATGGTACAGGGGTGGTTGGAGCCATGTATAGCCCATAAGGCTGGGGTGTACAGAACACCCAATACAGGAACAGGATGAGTGGTAACAGGAGAACCGTGGCCAAGATTACGAAGGGCAGTCTCCCTATAAAATACATATGACATCAAAGTCGTGGCAGGCGAGAATCTGAGGGTGCTTATAGGCAACTTGGCACGGTAAAGGAGGCGGCAGGGGAGAGCACAGGGACCCTGACCGCCCTCCTGTTACAATGTAACCCAGGTTTTTCTGACAAGCCATCCCTGGAAGCTCCTGTCCACATTCCTTGCAAGCATCTTTATCTCCGTAGACCAGAGACTCTGGCTTTGCTGTATTTTTTTACAGCCTGTGCTCTCCAGCTCCCTCTGCCACACTCAGAAGTTTTCTTGTGCTCTTCCTAAAATCCCTCTGCTGATCAGATGCCCATCATCATGATAACAAGAAGTGGGCTAGCTGCAGGACCTGGGGAAAACCTCCAGTTTTCATTTCTGGAGGATCTCTAACACAGGGGCTTGTAGTGGCATGTGCGCGGTGTTGAGGTTTGAGCTTTTAAGAGGTCAGTTTTGCATTTCTGATGCTTTCTTTCCCCTCCCTTCTCCCCAGACGAAAGGAAGTGCTTCCTTCGGGAAGTGCTTCAATGTTTTGTCTTGCTCAGCGAAGACCATGTAGACAATTTCTATATTAATGCCTTTCACATGCTGTGAAATGTGTCTCTTTCTGCCTTCTTTTGTCCATATCTACAACTCCCAGCAACTTGGTGTTCAACCCTGCAGTACTTGCCAACCTGTGCGCTCTTTACCCCACCTGGGATGATCCTCCCAATGGACGGGATGATTGCTCAGTTGCATCTACAGTTATTATGAAATCATCTTTTCCTGTCTCTGGTGATGATGAATTACTCTCTCTCCCAGAAAAGTCTCATTTTTAGCTACTTGTCATGGATGCCTTTCAGTGCCATGACTCCTTTCACTAAGCTCATTTTCACTTCTTTTCCTAGAATTATGCTGAGAAGGTAAGTGTGACCATCCATAAGTGTGTCCAATATCTCTTCTTGTTTGTACTTTGAAAACAGTGAAAGCTTTGTTTTTGTTCCCCAGTACATCATGGATCATGCATCTCCTCACCTGTCCCTGGTAACTGTCAGTTTAATGCCCTTTCTAAATCAGGAGTAGTTGGTGCTTTGTTTCCTATGACCACTCCTTATCCATCTGGGTGACAAGCCCATCCTCCCTTGTCCATCCAGGCCCTAGTAGACACCTTAAATTCATTGGATCCGTTCCCCAAATCCCAGTTGGATTCTGCATCCACTACCCAGTCACAAATGCTCTTTAACTACTGCCCAAACAGGATATCGAGGTCACACACCTGACTTAATCAGCAGCATCCAGCGAGGACAGATGGAGCTCTGGGCCTGTGATGATGAGGACCGTGGGGAAATCTCAAGATGGGAGGACCTGCTGCCAGGTGAGTCATATCTGTCCCTTCCACCTGACTCCGCTGTCAGTAAAGCTCCATGGCCAGAATGCCAGCAGGACCTGGGAACCGTAAGCCTGCCCTGTGCTGCCATTGCAGGGTGCTGACCTCAAATGCAGTATATTATGCTGTAATGCAGGGGCAGGCAATTATTTTGACTGGAGGGCCATGTAACTCAGTTTTGGTGAGCTGTCGGCTGCAAGGCTGGCCCCGTCCCCTGGTTGCCATCTTTGGACTGTAAGTCCCATCCTAAGCTCTGACCTTTGCCACCCTCCCCTCGTCCGCAGAAGTACTCCTTTTGGAAAGGGGATTTGCCATCTTGGAACCACAAAAAACCCCCAAATTATATCCTAAAAATCAAACATCCATAATAATATATTATTTTGTTTTAAAAATATATATTTTTTGTCATGATTTGTGTGTGTTTGTACTGTTTATATATAGAAATGATTGCATAACAGCTCAAAATGAACTCTTACCCTTGTATATTGTGTGAGGTATGGAGGAGTATTAGAGGTGCACCATTACATTGGTCTGATAATGGATCAGCACCGATTATAAAGAAAATTGAGTATATCAGAAATTGTCTGGTGTGGCCAATAATTTGGCTGATCGATCCCCATGCCTTCGCAGCCGCAGCGCGGCATGCAGACAGTGAGGAGCACAGGCCAGCAGCTTGGAGAGCTGCATACAGCTGGTAAGTCTGTTGTGTTGGAAGGGGTTTGGGGACACAGATCAATGACCCCCCCACGGTGCAGGAGTGAGTGTGGCTGGGCCTGGGCAGGTGCTGCCCAGCCAGGGTGGGGCGGGCGCAGGACAAAGCTGTGGCTTGTCCAGGGGGTGTGGGGGAGGAGGGGGCAGCTCCTGCTGCTGCACGCAACCTGGGAAAGCATGGGGAGGGCTGTGTGCTCCTGGATCTGGGTGGGGGGCGGGATGCAGCTGCGCAGGGCATGTTAGGTGTGGATTAGGCCATGCTGCACTTGGAGCAGGTGGCGGTGCTAGGAGAGGGGCTACAGCAAAATTTGGGGGGTCTGTAGCCCTCTCGTAGCACTGACACTGCCCACCCTGAGCACAGCCCAGTGCAGCCCGGGCCCCACACTGCAGCTGCAGCTCGCCCTGCCTCTTGCAGATCTGGGGTCCCCCCCCACTATGCTCTGCCAGGTTGTGCACAGTGGCCAGAGCTGTCCTCTTCCCCCATTGCCCCCCAGATGAGCCATGGCTCTGTCCCGTGCCCTGCCCCAGCTCCACTCCATCCCTTACCACTGGGGGCATTGATCTGCCCCCCCCAACACCCCTTCCCTCCCCCTCCCTTTCCACCACAACAGACTTACCAGCTGGAGGCAGCTGCATCAGAAAGCAGATCGGTATTGGCCGATAGCCAATTTTTAAGGAGGCATATCGGTATGAACCCCCAAAATCTCTACCAGGGCACCCCTTAGGAGTATGGCTGGGTGGGCTTGTGGGGGTCTGCAGGTGTGTGTGTGTGTGTGTGTGGATGTGTGTATATGGGGTGTAGGTGAGCATGTGGGGTATGTGTGGGTGGGTATATGTAGTTTATGGAGAAGTGTGGGTTGGTATGGGGTTTGTGGGGTATGTGGAGGGGAAAGTGGTTGGGTTTATGTGTGTGGTGTGTGCATGTAGCACTGAACAGGGCATCCCCCAGAGGCTTGAGGGTGTGAGTGTAGGGAGATGTAGGGGAGGGTGTGGGTAGGTGTGGGGTTTGTGGCCTGTATGACTGAGGAACTGTAGTTGTGGGGTTTGCGTGGAAGGGTTTGAGAATATGTGGGGTGAGCATGGGAGCCCCCACATGCGTCCAACTGAGCCGGTCAGCTCCTGCCCCAAAACAGCCCAGAGCCTGCACACCCTGCCCCGTCTCCCCTGCATACACCCAGCGTGGCCTGAACCTGTGCTGCCCAGGCTTGGCACTTTCAATCACCCCTGGGCGTGCAGCATGGCTAGGACAGCTTCTTCCAGCTGCCGCCACCACTTCCCCCAGTCCTGTGGTAGCAGTGTGAGCCAGCACTCGCAGCGCAATCCAGCTTGCCTTGTGCCAGCTCTGGGCTCGCCCCTCCAGGCTGAGCAGCAGCAGCAGCTGTGCAGAATATGTTGCTCGTTGCAGGGAAAAGAAGCCCCTCCCCCTCGCAGCTGCTGGGCAGTTTTTGGTGCGGCCGCCCACACTGTATCAGGCTCTCCTGCGGCTTGATCACCGCCACTTCTGGGTTTCCCCGTGACCGCTCTGCGTTGTCACTGCTGCCGAGCAGGTCAGCTCCAGGCAGCCACACCAAAACCTGCCTGGCAATGGTGAGAGGGAGGAGCCGATTTTTCTCCACAACAAGCAACAGTTTCATCCTGGCGCAGCTGCTTCTGCTGCTGCTCAGCCTCGAGGAGCAAGCCTGGAGCTCCAGGCTCAGCAGCGGTGGCATGGGAAAGAAACTGCGGCTCAGCATGGAGTAAAAGCTGCCCCTCCCCCTCCCACTGCTGGCACTTCCTGGTGCATCCGCCCAGAGCCCGTGCGGGGCTGCCCTGTGGCTGCTCTGCACTACCGCTGCTGCCCCACTGGGCAGCTCCAAGGTGGTGGTGATATGGTGGACACTCAGGGCAACTCTGCGCCAGCTCCAGACGATTATACACTGTTCAGCCTGGACAGGCGAGCCTGGAGCTGGTGCAGGGCTGCGCACACTGATTTCTGCCACTACCACCTGGCTCGTGGCATCCAAAAGAAGCTGCTGCTCCCCAGACTGTCTAGAAAGGAAACCCAGCTGCGCAGCGATCTCAGCCCTACTGTGTGCCCAGCAGGCACCGGGATGTGCCACAGCCGGGCGGTGCCTCGGCCAGCCGGGACCAAGGAACCCACTGCAGGCTTGACAAGCTAGACGGGCTATGTTTTACCTACCCCTGCTGTAATGGGGCCAGGCAGGTGTTGTTCCCACTCTCTGAAACTGAACAATGTCGAAACAAACAACTATTCCCTTCTAATGACAGATGTTTGTGGACAATCAGGTTTGCTGTCTTGATTGTCATCCCAGATCAAGTTTCCGTGGGCTGCCATGATCTTAAGTTGCCATCTTCACTCAGCAAAATAATTGTTCATTCCCCAGCCCAAGGTAGCCATATCTGTGTAATACCTCTCCTCGGGTATGATGGGATTCCTGGTCCCCCGTTGAAATCAGCATGGTATACAGAGGTTCTGTGTAGCCGTTGCTGTTGGTCAAGAAAGGAGCTGAGGCTGTCCCTGGCTGCTTCTGGTCAGGTAGACATGCAGCCCAGGAAGAGTTTCATCATGTCTCAGGCTGCATTAAATGGCTCCATGGCATGGGTGTGATTCAAAAGATTTTAGGTTGTGGTGGGAAGTGAATCCCCTATGCTTTCCACCAGAATTGCCTCCTTCCTGTTTCCTGTCTGGGGTCTAGAGTGTCATGGAGCCTGAGACTCAGCACAGAGTCCTGATTCAAGTTGATGCCAAGGCCTTAGATGCTTTGAAGGCTCCTGTGACATGGAGGCCACCTGGGACCCATCAGCAGAGGAAAGCCCCATGGGTGCATTCTCTGAACAAGAGCAGTCCCTGGAAGCAGGCAGGAAGCACAGCCCTGCTCCTCTCCTCAGAAGGTAGCCAGAGGTCTACGTCCTCTCCTCATCCTCAGCCCCTTAGAACATGAAGCCATTCAGACACTGCCTGAATGCACATGTTCCACATGTACTTGTCTTAGTAGAGCCTGAGGCGATGGCATGGACAGCTGGGCCAGAAACTCTGAGGGTCAAGCTCTGAAATGCACCGAGTAGGGAACACCTGCCCAGAACAGGGACTTGCCTCTTTCTCACCCCAGCACTTAAGGCCTCCTGCCAAAACCTGGTTTTCTTGAGGGAACACAATGCTAAGGTCCAGGCCTGCTCTGAGGCCCATCTCAGTAGAAGGAATAGCAGTGTTTGCCCTTTGCCAGCAGGGTAGGAACTAATCTGGAGTTTCTCTTCCCCACGCAGGCGGTGTCAGGCTGCTGAGCAGAGCTCAGGAGCAGCCTCCTGGGGAAGGGTCTGCAGACGTGGAGCCACCATGGACTTCTCCAGGGAGTATGGGTGAGATGGACTCCGTGAAACCCGAGAAGGAGCCATGGCACAAGAGTCAGGGGAGGCCACAAAAGCAGAAGGAGAATGTAGCGATGAGCCAGGTACCATCTCCAGTTGGGTGTGAGGGTGGAGAAGGGACAGAACCTAGAAAGAGCCCCCTGGGTGCAGAGCAGAATTTGTGGTGCAGGTTCTCTGGGTGAAGGGAAGACATGGGAGACCTAAAGAGGCACTGGAAAGATGCACTGCATACAAGCAAAAGCAGTGAGGAGGACCTCGGAGGGAAGCAGGATCTAACTGCCAAGCACACGGGCTGAGCTCACCCCTACGTGAAGGTCAGGAAAACCTTTCCGTGCACAGCACTCCTGTCTGTGCACAAGATAAGGTAGACTGGGGAGAAGTCCCATGTATGCACCAAGTGTGGGAAGAGCTTCACCTGCCTCTGCCCTGGTTGCTCAGTGCCAGACCCATTTTGGAGAGCTACCCCACTGCTTCACCCAATGGGGGAAGAGCTTTGTGTGCCTCATAGACCTGGTCAAGCACCAACATTTACAGAGGGGGAAGCATCACGCACAGGTGAGTCAAGAGTGGCAAGACCTTCACCTATTTTTGTCTCCCTGTCTCAGAACCAGCCCATCCCCCTAGGGAGGAAGGCACACCGCTGCACTGAGTGCAGGAAGAACTTCAGCTGCTTGCAAGACCTGTCCCAGCACGAGTGTGTGCGGCACTCCTGCACCAAGTGTCGGAAGACATTCAGGCATCTCTCTGACCTGACAAGACACTGGTGCATGCACACAAGGGAGAAGCCACATCAGTGCTCAGAGTGTGGGAAGAGCTTCGCTCACTCCTCCAGCCTGGCTAGGCACCAGCGTATCCACACAGGGGAGAAACCACATCAATGCTCACAGTGCGGGAAGAGCTTCACTCTCTCCTGCAACCTGGCTCAGCACCAGCGTATCCACACAGGGGAGAAACCACATCAATGCTCACAGTGCGGGAAGAGCTTCACTCTCTCCTGCACCCTGGCTCTGCCCCAGCGTATCCACACAGGGGATAAGCGACATCAGTGCTCAGAGTGCGGGAAGAGCTTCACTCACTCGTCCAACCTGGCTAGGCACCAGCGCATCCACACAGGGGAGAAGCCATATCAGTGCTCAGAGTGTGGGAAGAGCTTCACTCACTCCTGCAGCCTGGCTCACCACCAACGTATCCACAGAGGGGAGAAGCCACATCACTGCTCAGAGTGCGGGAAGAGCTTCACTCTCTCCTCCACCCTGGCCAGGCACCAGCGTATCCACAGAGGAGAGAAGCCATATCAATGTTCAGAGTGCGGGAAGAGCTTCACTCAGTTCTCCAACTTGACCCAGCACCAGCGTATCCACACTGGAGAGAAGCCACATCAGTGCTTAGAGTGCGGGAGGAGCTTCACTCAGTTCTCCAACCTGGCCCAGCACCAGCGGATCCACAGTGGGGAGAAGCCACATCAGTGCTCAGAGTGTGGGAAGAGATTCACTCAGTGCTCCAACCTGGCCCAGCCCCAGCGGATCCACAGGGGGGAAAAGCCGCATCAGTGCTCAGAGTGTGGGAAGTGCTTTACTCAGTCCTCTAACCTGGCTCACCACCAGCGTATCCACGCAGGGGAGAAGCCACATCAGTGCTCGGAGTGTGGGAAGTGCTTTACTCAGTCCTCCAACCTGGCTCACCACCAGCGTATCCACACAGGGGAGAAGCCACATCGTTGCTCAGAGTGTGGGAAGAGCTTTGAGAACTCCTGCAGCCTGGCTGAGCACCAGCGTATCCACACAGGGGAGAAGCCACATCATTGCTCAGAGTGTGGGAAGAGCTTCACCCTATCTTTTGACCTGGTCCGGGACCAGCTCATGCACACAGAGTAAAAGCACATCAGTTCTCTGAGTGCAGGAAGTGCTTCCTCCATTCCTCCAAACTGGCCCAGCATCAGTGCATCCCTATCTGGGAGTATCCATAATTCTGCCAGCAATACAGGAAGGGTTTGGGGATGTATACTGGCTCAGCACCTACCAGTGTCTGCATCCAGGGAAGCAGTCTCATGCCGGGGGACTGCAGCAACAGTTCACCCTTTGTTCAGCCTTTCTGGGACACTGCAAAACCCAAAGAACACAGAGGCCAGCCTCCCAGGTTTGACATGGGTAAGGGGTTTAAAGGAAACACCTTGGGTAGAGGCCAGGGGGAGCCTGTGAGCCTGTGAGCTGATCCTTGCTTCAGCCTTGGAGCCTGTACCACCCCATCATTCTCTAAAAGCAGCCAGTTTTCCCAAGGGGAGAAGAAGCAACTTCACAATAGGTGCCCTTCCCAAGACAGCTGGCTCCAAATGACATCCGCGGACTGTCTTTGGCCGACTACCGGGTTTGACTTCTGATGGCCCCAGGGTTCTTGTACATGAGGCTGTAGAGCTGCAGGAAGGAGGACATTTATTGCTGGGGACGCATTCCCTGCCTTCTACCCTGACCATGCCTTTCCTCCCCACCGCGTCACCTCTCTCCCAAGCCTGCACATGGCCATTGTAGTTCTGCAAGAAACTGCTACTGCCACCCCATGAGCCCAGTTTGGCAGGTTTTGCTTCTCACCCCTGTCAGAACTTGGCACCACCAGGTGCAAACTGCCCTTCCCCACTTCCCGCCGTCCTGCTCTCCATGCCATTCTTTATAGCAGCTTCCTTGGTAATCAAGCCCAGCAACTTAATGTGATACCCCTGTGGTTGGTCTCTATGTCATCTCGGGGTGTGAATTGGGATAGTAGAGGTGAAGGAGGTGCAGGCTGTGACATGTCCTGCCTCTTCTGTGAAAGGGTGGGGAAAGAATGAAGGCATCCTCTGGGTGAAATGCAGCATGTTGTAATCGCCCTGTGGGAGCGTGTCTGCCTTCTGTCCCGTCCTCTCGCAGGACTCGCCTGCCATGACTAAGAAGATGGAAAAATAAGAGGATGTTATTCCCTGTGGGGATAGATAAAATGTAGCAGACCACCCAGGTTGGCTATTTCCAATAGTGCAGCTCTTTATTTAACTTAGTAACAAAAGTATCTTTCTGCTAATTACTTCATTAACGGGAGGCGGCGGACTTGCTGCTTCAGTCAAGTACAGTTTCTCTGAGGCACTCGCTGGGCGGCAGGCTTGCCTCGGGCATTGATCTCAGGTCCTCCACTGATCTGAGCCTGCCTGGGGACTGTTTGTCACTCTGGCCATGCCAGAGACCTCTGCAGGCATGGTCCTTGGTGCCTCCTCTTTGGACCCTGCACCCCAGTAGGGATGCAGCCACTTCAGCCGTTTATGGTTAATCTCAGTAGAAGACTGTCAACGATCTTCATTCCCAACCACTCTGGGTTCCTGCCCGCTGCATCTTGTCCCCACAGGTAAGGGTTCCCCCACCCTTCTTGTCTCCTGTTACACACCTTCCCTTTTGTGTCCCCCCCCAAAAACTGAGATCCACCGAGTCTTCATTGTTCTCGTCCCAAGCCAGTGAGCTTGTCATTTTGGTATCCATGTCAGTCCTAATTTCTGGGCGTGACAGTCCACATTCCTGCTCTTTTTTCCTGCCCGATGTTTCACTGAAAAATAAAAAGATTGTAAAGCAAGAGACCGTCTCAGTAGTCTAGCATTATCAAGTTTGGTGGTTTGCAGCCGGCGGGGGGGAGGGTGGGCACCACAGACTTCTGGCTGAGTAAGTAATACCGGAATAGTTCTACCCCCACCTAATAGCTAGACACTCAGTTGTAGAGTATCGTGTGTCCACGGGAGTTAGCTTTTTACTAGTGAAGGCTATGGGCCTCTCTTCTCCTTCATCTTCTTGGAAAAGTATGGCTCCTAATTCTGTGCCGGAGGCTTGTTTGTATATATAAAAAAAAAAAAAAAAAAAAAAGGTCTTTCTGAAGTCAGGCGTATGCAGCATTGAGTGTTGGCACAGACTGTCTTTACTTGTTTGAAAGCCCGGATGGCTCTATAATTCCACTGCAGTCTGTTTTTCCGCCCCTTTGTCATCTCTGCCAGAGGTGCAGCCTTCTCCAAAAAGTCCTTAATGAAGCAACTGCAACAATTAGCAAAACCCAGGAAAGATCGTAATTGTTTGAGGGTTTGTGGTAGTGGGTGTTGTCTGATGGCCACTACCTTATCAGCGAGGGATTTTATTTTCCCTTGTCTTACCAGAAACCCGAGGTACTGGGTTTCCCTCTTTCCTAGGGTGCACTTCTGGGGATTTGCAGTTAACTCAGCTTGACGGAGCTCATTAAGCTCATTCTTCCCTAGATGCCGGCAGTGTGTCTCCCAGTCAGGGGAGAAGATGATAATATCATCAATATACATGGCCGCGTACTCTTCATGCAGGGCCATCAGGCACTGGAATGAAGCTGCTGCCCCGTGGAGCCTGAAAGACATCCATCTAAACTGGAACAAACCCCAGGGTGTCCCAAAGGCTGTTTTGTCTTTGTCAGCAGGGGCCATTGGAATTTGCCAGTATCCCTTGGTGAGATCCAAGGTCAAAATATATTTAGCTTGGCCAACCTTCTCCAGCATCTCCTTGACCTGGGGCATTGGGAAAGCATCAAATGTTGCTGTTTCATTTACCTTTTGGTAATCAATGCATAATCTTATGGTCCCATCCATCTTCGGGACCACCACCATTGGGCTCCTCCATGGACTCCAGGATTCCTCTATGATGCCCAAGTTTTTCATTACTTCAATTTCTTGCTTGACTCCTGGCTGTAAGTGTCAAGATAGCCTCCTCCAATGTGTGATCTGTCCTGATGGGGTTTGAATATGATGTTCCACCCCTTGGGCCTCCCCTGGGGTTTCGCAGAACACGTCACAGTATTCTGATGTTAAGGCCCTTAGCATATTTTGCTGTTTCATGTTAAGTCGGCAGTCTACCTTGGGTTGAGGTGAGTCCTCCTTTACCCCTTGAAATCCTTTGTCCCCCTCTAGTGCATCATATTCAACTGGATCCTGAACCATCCATCCCTCTTTCTGTCACCACCTCTTCAACAAATTAATGTGATATATTTGTTTCCTAGTGGGTTCAGTCCACAATATTTCATAGTTTCCTGGTCCCGTACATCTGGCTACTTGGACCAGTCTCTGCCATCGGGCTATCAACTTGTGTGGGTTATCAGGTAATAGTAGTAGCCAGCCTCCTGCCTTCAATTCTCTTTCCACGGTACGTGTGTCATAGTTCTGTTTCTGTTTTTCCTGCCTTTGTTTTAAGTTCCCTCAGGCCATAGCCAGTGCCCTTTCTAATTTCTCTTGAAAATCAGTCTTGGCCTGTGGCTGTGATGATTCATTTGGTAGGACACCCCATCCTTCGCAGATAACATCGAGGAGTCCCCTAGGGTTGTGACCAAAAATCAGCTCAAATGGGGCATGTCCTGTGGAGGCTTGGGGAGTTCCATGGATAGCAAACAAAGGAGGAATCATGGTATCCCACCCCCTGGGGTTGCCCTGTATGCATGCTCGTATTGTCCCCTTTAATGTCCAGTTAAAACACTGTACTAACCCATCCATCTGTGGATGGTAGACGGAGGTCCAGAGTTGTTTAATTTTGAGTGTTTTGCATACTCCCCACAGGATTTTAGACCTAAAGATTTTGCCTTGGTCAGTGAGGATTTCTCTCAGGATCCTGACCCACGTAATCCATCTTGTAAGTGCACTGGCTATCACTAGGGCTGTCAGTGAGAACACAGGGGAACCGCGTTAGGGAAACGAGTGGCATAGCTGATGGTAACCAGAACAAACTGGCAACCTGTCTGGCTGCGGGGAAAAGGGCCCGCCACATCCATGGCTATCCTATCCAATGGGCGTCCCTCCAGTGGCAAAGGTCTCAATGGGGCCCTGGGTGGTCTTAGCCCTCTGTTTTCTGGCATTCTGGGCATTTTGCACAAAACTTTTCCACCATTTTGTAGAGCCCCAGCCAGAAGACCCAGAGCTTTAACCTGGCCTCTGTCTTATCCCTCCACAAATGACCTCCCATGGGAAAGGTGTGAGCTACCGGAAGTAGATCATGTCAGTATTTCCGCGGGATTAGGACCTGCTGTCTCTTGCCTCCCTCTTTCTGGTCCTCCACCTGATACAAGATGCCTACCCTTACCTCGAAGTGAGGGTTCAGACCCGCCTTCTCTGGGTCCACCATCTCTCCTTCACATCTGGCCAGATGCATTTGCCAAATATTCTGGAACAGCAGCTCCTGCCTCCGTTCTCCCCAGAAATATCCATCTCCAATCATCTGCTCCAAATCTACATCTCGTCCTTCTTCCTCTGCCAGTGTCCCAAAGCATACTGCCTCCAAGTCACCCTGCCATTCTCCTCCCTTTCTCAGTACTTGGGAGACTACTTCCTTCAGATGAGGCCAGTCGACCCCCAGAAGCATCAGGCAAGGGAGAGTCTTGGCTAAACTGACCTCTGTTTCCTCGGTGTGACCCATCACGGACAGCAGAAGCTGTCTTCTTTCATAAGCGTAGGAAGCCCCGTGTATACATACCATGCTCATGGGTGACTCTGGGCTTCCCAACCGTGTGGGTACCAGGTCTGCCCTTATCATGGACTAAGAATAGCCTGTATCCATGATTGCCAGGATGATAGTGCCCCCACACGTACTTCCACTAGGGGTTTGTTCTGCCATGCTGGGCCTTTCTGCCACCCCAAGCTACAGTCCATCTTTTCTTGATGTGGACTCTCCGTAGTTGTCTCTGCTTGGGTTTTGTGGGGACAAACTCGAGATACGTGTCTCTTGTCACCACACCGGTAACAGATTATGTCCCTGGCATCCCAACCGTGGTTCTCGTCCAGATCGCCTGAGTCCCTCCCCTTTCCTTTCTTTCCTGGAAGTCTCAAGGTGTTGCCTAGCACTTATCCCTGGTTGTTCCCTCTTGGGGGGCCTCACCTTCTGTTTTGGCTGTAACATAATCCTCAACCAAGCGTAGAGCCTCTTCCATTGTTTTTGGCTGATGACAGCCCACCCAGCGTTGGGTATTGCCCCCTAGGTCATTCAGGAACTGCTGAAGTACAACGCGGTCTATTACCTCCCGTATGGACCGTGTGCCCGGCTGGAGCCACCGTTCCACTAGGTCCTATAAGGTCTGAGTGAGCAGGCGTGGTCGTAGTCCCTCTAAACCTTTCCGAGCGCTGAACTTCTGTCTGTAAGACTCCGGAGATATCTCCAGACGGTATAGTATAGCCTCTCTTATTTTACCATAGTCTCAAGCCTCAGATCAGGTGAGAGCCTGGTAGGTGGCTTGCGCGGGGCCAGTGAGCAGGGACCCTATGCACACTGCCCAGTTGCTTGGGTCCCATTTGCATGCTGCTGTTGTTCTCTTGAAGGCCTCTAGATACGCTTCTATATCATCCTAGGGAGTCATTTTTGGAAATTGGAGTCCATCACCTTCCCTTCCAAGAGCCACTTGTTGGGCTTCTATCTTTTCACTAAGGCCTTGCTGGTGAGAGAACAATCTGATCCGGGCTTCAGCTTCCTGGGTTCTTACCAGAACCATCTCCTCCAGTTGCGCCTGCCGGGCTTGCAGTCGCTGGAGGGTGAGGCTGTGCGCCTGTTGCCAATCTTTGGGTGCTTGGATGTCCACGGACTCCATGATCTTCTGATGACCCACCGGGTTTCAGACACTGTTTCCCAACTTTGTGGGAGCGTGTCTGCCTTCCGCCCCCTCCTCTCACAGGACTCACCTGCCACAACTAAGATGGAAAAATAAGAGGATGTTATTCCCTGCGGGGAGAGAGAAGATATAGCAGACCACCCAGGTTGGCTATTTCCAATAGTGCAGGTTTTTATGTAAACTTAGCAACAAAAGTATCTTTCTGCTAATTACTTCATTAACGGGAGGCGACGGACTCACCGCTTTAGTCGACTACGGTTTCTCCGAGGCTCTTGCTGGACGACAGGCTCACCTCGGGTGTTGATCTCAGATCCTCCAATGATCTGAGTCTGCCTGGTGACTGTCACTCTGGCCATGCCGGAGACCTCAGCATGCATGGTCCTTCGTGCCTCCTCTTTGGAGTCTGCACCATGGCTTGCCGGACCTCCCGCCCCAGGAGGGATGCAGGCACTTCAACTGTTTATGGCTAATCCTGGTAGGGAACCATCAGCGATTGTCGCTTCCAACCCCTCCGGGTTCCTGCTGGCTGCAGCTCGTCCCGAGAGGTAAGAGTTCCCCCACCCTTCTCCCCATGGCACCAGAGAAGGATCGTCTACAGCGTCTTACGATCCTGGGACGATCCATTGGTGATTGGTTTCTCTCTCCACTTTCTTTCAGTGCCCAGAGGGCAATGTTTACTGCTGAGTGCCTCCTTTTAAGTCTGGTGGTGGTAATTAACTGCGCCCGGTGTGTGTATGCCTCCACCTGTGACCTAGTTTCACCTCTAATTTCACCCACAGTAACGGGTTTGGCTAAAGCCCCCTGTTACATTCCCATTGGGAATTCTGAGGCTTCCCTCCTTGTGCGAAAGCCATTTGGCTCCATGAATGTCCTGTAGGAGCCACTCCAAGAGGTGAATAACCCATCCTGCAGAAAAGGCCCTGGGGGTTAAAGTGTACATTAAGGTGACTGTGAGCCAGCAGTGTGCCCTTGTTGCCCAGAAA